GAGCAGGAGCTGTATGCTTGAGCCGTGCTCCACCCCATAAAGTAGCCATGGGGTTTTTTGTTGTTCTGTTTTGTTTTGTGATTTGGTGGCTGGGGACACTGGAGTTTGAATTTAGCCTCTTTTTTTGCGGGAGGCAGGGGGAGATGGATTTGAATCCTGGGCTTTGCACTTGCAAAGCAGGCACTCTACTGCTTGGGCCACACCTTTAGTCCAACAGGTGATTTTATTTGGGATGTTCACAGAGTTGCCCAAACTTAGTCCATCCAAGAGACTTTGGATTAATGTTAGAAATACAAAGTGGGGAAATTAACATAGGTAGGTGACAATTCTCTGAACTACCACATCGATGAAAAAAAGTGAACAGAGAAGACCCTTGGATCCACTTCCTACCAGCTGATGTTAGCTGTAGGCTCCAAAGATCCCACCCACTTCTGGGATAAAGCAACCCAGGCCAAAATGGGCCCCTAATCTATTGCTGACTCTGGAGGAGGGATTCAGAACTGTGGCCTAGGAGCCTGGGTGTGTGGACAGGTGTTTCTTGGGTATGTGGGGTGTCTGCTTGCTTAGGGGTCCTCCAGGCATGCTGGGCTGGGCAGATGCTTAGTGAGTGCGTGGGCTTGGGAATGAATGCACAAGTCCCTCAAAATGTATGCTAATCCCTGCAGCTGCAGAGGTGAGGAGCAGAGTGCACATTCTCTACTTGTCCTATTACATTGTTGCCACAGAGACACTACTAGCTGGAGGCAAAGTCCATTCCGTGTTTTCTTGTGTTTGCAGGGAACCTATGTGTGGGTGACACCTGCATGTGGAGCTGCTGAGGTCAGGTATGGTCTCCCATGCAATGAGTGGACAGGGCCAAGGTGGGGTTTGTTTCTTCTGCCCCAAGGATGGGGAGCGTTGTTAAGCAACATCTGAGGCACATGGGGGTGGGCACCATGCACAACTGCCCTTCCTCAATACCCACACAGGTGAACCACTGAAGCCAACTTAAGGGACTCGTGGATGTTGCAGGGTCTCTGGGATTTTGTGAATATCTAGTATGTGTCATGCATGAATGTATGTCAATCCATGTTTCTGCCCCAGGCTTACTGTTGCCTAGGTGAAAGGGCCACTATCCTGGTCTCTGCCACAATGTACAAGTGGGGCTTCTGTTCAGGCCCAGGATACCATATCTAGTGTATGTTGCCTTGTACCTCTGGCTCTTGTCCACAGCCCATCATGTAGGCTTGCAGTCAACAGACACTGAAATCAACTTGCAAGGGCCCATGGGACTGCCAGATGCCCAGTGCATGGTGGATTTGTGACTTTGTGTGCCCAGCGGGTCTACTGAAGGGGCAGTAGGTGTGCAGTGCATGTGTGTGGTGTATGTGTGGCATGTCACAGGAGGTGTGTGCCGGGTCGTCTCTGTGCTCCCCTAGGCCTGGTTGGAGGGCTGGCCTGGCCGGGGCAAGAGCAGCCTGCAAATTCCCATTCCTGGCCTGTGACTCAGGCCTATGGAGAGGAGGGTGAGTCACAGAAAGCTTGGGCCCAGCCCGCCCTGGATGCAAACCCATCCTAGAACCAGAGTGCAGCCCCTCAGGCTCTCTCCAGGTTTGCAGGAGGCTGAATCTTCAGGAACCTGAGGCCTCCTAGGAAGCAGAGCCAACCTGGGGGTACAGGGCAGATTTAACCCTTCCTGTACCTCCTGAAACCGGCAGGCCTCGGGCTTCAGCTGACACACTGCACGCGCGCGTGCGCGCGCGCCCACCCCAGGGACATGACTCATGCCAGCAGGGATGGGCACGTATGCTCTGTGGGCCTCTGCCCACCCGAGTCACGCGCACTGAGCCCTGTCCCCAGGTGCTCCCAGATCCATATCCGGATTATGTGCACTCTTTTTGGGCCAAGCACCACTTCCCTTATGATGTTCAACACAGGCCCTGCATGAAAACATGTTACCAGGTCCTCGAACACACCTCTCCACCCGCGTTCTTTTACACACCCCACTTTCCTGTCCACACGAGTTTCTTTTCCCTAGTAATCCTTGTTTGTTTCTATACACACTAGTCCCCTGCCCACGGACACACATGTGCGCCACACCTGGCAACACACAAACAATCCCCGCATCCCTCATCCTGGCTATAGGCCCCGAGGATTTGGGCCAGCTGGGCGGACTGGAGTTTCTGCCAGGAAGGTCCCATTTGCGCGCTCCCGCCGAGCAGCCGCCAGGTGCAGTGTTACCGGCCCCCGCTTGGCCGGGAGGGGGCGGTAATTACGCGGCCCCGGGGTGCCCCCCACCCCACGCGCCTTTCATCCCCGGCCACTCCCGTCCCCGACCTAGACGCTCATTACCGCCTCCCGCCCGGTCATTACCCGGGGTCGGGGGAGGACCCGGCGTCCAGCCGGCCAGCCCGCAGGAAGGGCGGAGTGAGAGGCGCGGGAGCGAGGCAGCCCCGCCCCAGTCTCCATAGTTACATCCGTCTCTGAGTCGGTGGGGGGTGGTGGAAGGGTGGGGAACCCTAGCCCATGGGTGGAGTGGGCGCATCTTCTGGGGATCCAAAAGGCTGATGCCCTCATGCAGACCGCCAACAGAGGAAGGGGTGGATTTGCGAAAAAGGAAGGGGCTCAAGGCAGACCGTGGGAAAAGAGACGGGGAGACACTGAGATCAAGAGGCGCCTGGCCCGTGCATTTCTGCGCCTGGCCCGTGCATTTCCGCGACCCGCATGGGCGAGCCCTGCGCTTCAGGTCCGGAATAGCAGCCCCGCCCCCCCGGGCAAGGCTATTCTGAGCCCCGCCACCTGCGGGCGCGGCGGGGGCGATGGAGGTTCGGGAGTCCAGACGCCCGCGCTGTCCCCGCCTGCTGGAGCGATGCTCCGCTGGTGTCCATCCGGGGAGTCAGGACTGTCTCCCACGCATGGCCAATCCACGCAACTGGCGCCTCCGCAGAGGGGACGGATCCAGAGTCCCGGAGTCCGACCCAAAGGTCTGGCCAGAGACAGCGAAGCCGCGGCGCCCCCTCGTGTTCGCGCCAAGCAACTCTCCTGGCCCGGATCTCTTGTGGTGCAGGGGCTGCAGCGAGGGTGAAGGGAAGGAGAACGCAGCCACTTGGGAGCCCCCCTCTCACAGGGACAGAGGGTTCTGGTGACATGCTGAGTTGCAAGTGCACGCAGACGTAGGTAAGCACAGGGACGCAGGCACGAAGACAGGTTACACACCTGAGACACTAGTGCACAGTGATGGGGCAGGCGCGTATAGTACAGGCATCTGTGGTAGCTTCCACACTGTTGGGGTCTCCATACGGTTATGGGTACTAGCGGGGCCCGGGACACAGGAACGGCTCGTAGTAAATGTAATAACTAGGTGCTAGTTGAATGAATGAACACAAAACCAGGAACAGTCAGGATTCAGAACCAGAGTAATGAGGGGCCCAGAATGATCTCTACAGAGATTTCCCCTCCTCCCCCTTACGCCCGAGGCTGCTCTTGGGAAAGGAGCCATTGCCCTGTGGGACAGCTTTCCACAGGGCTGGGCGTGTCCGGCGGTCCAGGGCGGGTGAGCCCCTCCCGCTCCCGCTCCCGAATGTGAGTAGAGGCAATGCTGAAGTCTCTCTGCTCCTTCTAATAACCGCCCTGCGTGAGTGGCTGACGCAGCAGGCTGCTGCTGACGTGGATAGGAGGGCTGCGGTGTGGGGGGCGAGTTGAAGAGGGGGTGGCTATGAGTCATGCAGCTGCCGCTTGGGGGATGGGGCCTTGAGCTGATGAGGGGTCCTGGCGACCTTGTCACTGGAGACAGTTGGGTCACCTCGACCGGCCTGAGGATGAGTCTGAGGCCTGAAGTGAAGATGAGACTTCTCAGCAAGAAGGGCATCGCTTCCTCAACTCCCTCCAATTTTTCTGTGGTGGGTCTGCCCTTCAAGATTTTCTGGGGCAGAGCTGTAGCCTGGCAGGGCAGAGAGAGAGGAGGATCTGCACTAGATTGCTCTGTCAGGGCCAGGGGTGCATTAAGAGCTGAAGTGGCAGTAAAAGGGACCCTCAGAGGCCTTGGTTCTACTCAGGAGCTGCCTTAGAGTTTTAGCAAAGCTGATTCTCTTGATGGCAGAGGTCTCAGGACCCCCTAGAACCAGGTTAAGAGATGATGTCTTCAAAATGATAAGACATAGGTGAAGGAGCATAGTGGGTCCTTGGCCTCGGATTGGGTGGTCAGTGGTTGTGAGTGTGCAGCCCCACATGATGACCAGGGCTGGGATGCATGGTGGGCAGGGAGGCTGAGGCCAAATACCCAGGTGGGTGTCAACCTGCAGTGGAGGTGTGATGCACAAGTGTTTAGTAAGGTTGGGGTGTGAGTGATGTATGTGAAGGGGGATGGGAGTGCAGAAAGGGTTCAGCTGGGAGTTAGGTGTGGGAGCAGGTTGGGGTTTGTAGGCAAACCAGGTTAGGTGAAGTCGGGGTGCCCTAGTATTGCGAAGAATTCTGTGGCAAACACTGAAATTTACATAAATGTGAACACTGTCTCAGTGTTGGGGTTTGGGTGAGCATTGGGGTTGACTGCATGAAATAGTCTATCCAGGAGACAGGAGTGTTGGAGTTCAGGTGGGAGTTGGCTGAGAGCCGGGTCTTCAGCGGGAATGGGGATCAGGGTGAGGGCGGTATGTCGTGGTTCGAACGAGTTGAGGAAGGGGATCCCATCAAGATCTGAGACCACTGCAAGCAATGGTCAGAGTCCTTTGTTCCCCGCCGCAGGCCAGGGGGCGGGCACACGGAAGTGGGTCAGCCCTGCTGCGCGTCGGCCACGCCCGCACGCTCGCGGGTAAGATTCTGCGGACTGGGAACGCCCCAGCCAATCACGTCGACCGGCGCCGGCGCGCGGGAAGGGGCGAGGCTTAGGGACACCCAGCCTCCAGCTCATGAATATGAGGCGCGGCCGCTATTTCCGGGGCCTCGGATTGGCCGGCGCGGCGCAGAGGGCGGGCATAGGGGGCGTGGCCCGGCAGCGGTGTATATGAGACCGGACTCGTACGCCCCCCCCTTTCACTCGCGCATTAGGAAGCTTGGGTCTCTTTGCCGTGCCCGCCCGCGTCAGGGACCGGCTTGGCTGAGCGGTGAGGGCCCTGGCGGCACCGGTTCTAAGGGACCCGGGGCTGCGGGCGGCCTGTGGCGCCCAGGCGAGGCGGTAGTGCGGCGGCACGCCCCTGGGAGGGGGCGGGCCCGGGGTGGAGTTCATCTCGCTGGCGGCAAGGGGCAGCGGGAGACTGGTCCGGATGGTGGCCTGAGGACGTTCTCCTCGCGGGTTTGGGCCGCCGGCTAGGCGGGCGCTGCCCTAAAATGGCGGCTCCAAGTTTGAGGCTTCTCTGGCGAAATGGCGGGAGCGACGAGTACCCGGATGGAGTGGCGCAGGGCGCGCGCTCAGCGCATGCGCGGCCTCAGGGGACGAGGAGGGGGCGGGACGCGCGACATCCAGTGCTTGTCTCCTGGGCGGTGGGTCTTGGGGTGGCGCGTTCCATCAGTTTGGCTTCCCAAGCTTCGTTTTCCCCCTTTCCCATTGATAGTACACGTGGGAGAGGACATCCTCAAAGGGTCCTGCTCGGCGCGCTCAGTTTGAGGGCTTTTTTCCTTCTCTGCTCTTCAAGTTTGGGTCCGAAGTGGCACAGCCCCCAGCGAGCAGTCGACAGGTCGTGTTCTGGCCTTGGTTTCCGAACGGTTGAGCGTTGGTTTTCTTCGGCCAATAAATGTTTTGTCTAAGTCATCACGCCCCGACCCCATAAGTAGCCACATTCTCCAAATACCAGGTTTTCTATGTGGCATTCTCCACGGGATCCCTTGGCACTTCACAGCCTCCAAGGCACACCTCTCCCCAGTTCCTAGCTGTAAAGTCTACAATGAGCTAACCGCAGCCTTAGGAGGCATTTCACAGTGATCTCAAGCACTTTCTGATCCAGAGACCCATGGACATCAGGTGGTTAGTAGAGGAGGTCGCCCCCTTGTTGGCAAAGTGAAGGAACTGAGGGTTCAGCCCTGGGTGAGGGGAGACCAGTGAGTGGCCCTTCCCTAGAAACCCCGGCTGAGGGGTGGCTGGAAGTGTACCAGCGGCAGAACAGGAGATAAAATTCATTTGTATAAAGAAGTTTTAGGGCTGGAGGTGTGAGGCAAGTAGTAGAATGCCTGCCTAGCAAGCACGATGCAAATCTCAGTACCTCCAAAAAAAGAAATTCAAGGTGGTTTTTAGTAAAGTCAGACCAGAAAACTGATTTTCCAGTATTTCCTTACAAAGAGCATATGCCATTTGTATAAAATAGAAAGGAAAGGTGGTGAGGAAGAAGCCCCCTAAAGGATTTCAATTGTATCTGTCACAGGCCATCATGGCATCAGATGAAGGCAAGCTTTTCGTTGGAGGGCTGAGCTTTGATACCAATGAGCAGTCGCTGGAGCAGGTCTTCTCAAAATATGGACAGATCTCTGAAGGTGAGGCAGACCCTGGCTGGTAGCCAAATGGGGCTAGCTTGGCCCTGTTTCTGCCTGTGGGGAGAACTAGTCACTGACTGCAGGCCCTCTCCCCTGTACAGTGGTGGTTGTAAAAGACAGGGAGACCCAGCGATCTCGGGGGTTTGGATTTGTCACCTTCGAGAACATTGATGATGCCAAGGATGCTATGATGGCCATGAATGGGAAGGTGAGGGTGTGCTGTTGGGGGTTGCCGAGGGTGTTCCACCCCCAAGGACAGGGAGACACAGGGCTAACGTGCCAACCTGTGGTCTGCAGTCTGTGGACGGGCGACAGATCCGAGTTGACCAAGCTGGCAAGTCATCTGACAACCGATCCCGTGGGTACCGAGGTGGTTCTGCTGGAGGTCGGGGCTTCTTCCGTGGGGGCCGTGGCCGTGGCCGTGGCTTCTCAAGAGGTGAGTGTCTAAAACGCACTTGGGGGTAGGTGGAGGTGCTGCTGGCAGGAGCGAGTACTCACTCCTTAACCATCCGGTCTGTCCTCTAGGGGGAGGGGACCGAGGCTACGGGGGCAGCCGTTTTGAGTCTCGGAGTGGGGGCTACGGAGGCTCCAGAGATTACTATAGCAGGTGAGGAGATAGGGAGCCAGCTTGGGCCTAAGGGCTGCGGAATGCTTCTGTCCACGGTCTCTGGGAGGGCTGTCCTTAGCTGGTGTGGTATAAACTGAGAGGAGGCTGGTGTGCTGGGAGGAAAGGTGAAGAAGTGGCACACTCAGGACAGGGGTGCTGCTCAGAACAGTTATATGAGTGGGGGAGGGCCTAGGGGCAGGGTTTTTTGTTTTGTTTTCTTTGTGGTGCTAGGGTTTGAACTCTGGGCCTTGTGCTTGCTAGGCAGTGCTTTACTATTTGAGTCATGCCCTCAGCTAGGGTTTTGTCTTTTGGATTCAGTTCTGAAGATGGCACCCAGGGCATCAAGCATGCTGGGCAAAGCTTTACACTAACTGCACCCTTTCCCCTGCTGTCTTTTCCCCAATGGGGCTGCTGGTATGGGGCTGGAGCCCTGCCTGCTATGGACCAGGCATCACCAGGCAGGTGACCTCTAGCACAACATGTGTCCTTCCCACAGCCGGAGTCAGGGTGGTGGTTATGGTGACCGGAGCTCTGGTGGGTCCTACAGAGACAGCTATGACAGTTATGGTAAGTCTGGCTCTGAGGGTGCCACGCTGCGTGGCCTGGTGGGAGCTTGGTGTGAACCCTTGTGCCCTTCTGGAGTGCCTTAGGTGGATGCTCAGCCATGGCTCTACTTTGTCATTGCTTGTCCCTAAAAAACAAACCTGTCCTCTCAGAACCCTTTGTACCACAGAATGTAAAAATGAACTAAGAATGTCAGAGTGAAACTAAAGCAAAGGGAGTGAGGGAGCTGCTGGCTGGTAGGCTAGCATAGGTGCATGTGAGCCGCCCTCGGCTGGGGGGGGTGGCTCTTGAGCCCTGGGCCGGCCCTCCAGGTCTGGGCTCGGGAGTGGATGCTGCATCTCGTTGTGTGCTTCAGCGCCTTTACACTGTACCTGCTTCTTGTCCTCAGCTACACACAACGAGTAAAAATCCTTCCTGCTCAAGATCGTCCTTCCAATGGCTGTATATTTAAAGATTTTGGGAGCTTCGCTGAATCGTTATTGTGTAGTGAACACACCTTGTATTCCCACTTTTGTAGTCATTTCAGTTCTGATCTTGTCAACACAGCCTGACTGCTTCTGACCCCCACCCCCCATGATCTCATTACTAGACTTTTAATTTTTTAAGAAGTGCTGTCCGTTTTTAAGAGTTTTTAAAAACATTTTGAGAAGCACTTCAGATTTTACTTTTTTTTTAACCATGAGTCATGGGTTTTTTAAAATAATTGGGGGTTGTGTGGGGTTTTGGTTATTTTTTTTTGTTTTTAGCGTTCTTCTGGTTGTGTTGCCTTTTTTTTTTTTTTTTTTTAGTGGGGTCACCCCGTGAAGTTGGGTGCTCTACTCACTTCTCTGAGATTGGACTTTAAATCCATTCTTTGTTGGAAGCTGAGCAAGCTGTGGCTTTTTTCAACTCCTTGTAATATTTCTGAGTGTAGCGTGGTAGGATGGCATCCGGGCAGCACAGGCTGCCCCAGAGTCTGGCCTGCACGCCCATCGTGCTGTGTGCCCTACTGACATGCAGATGTCTCTTGAGAGGTTCTTGAAGATGTTTATTTATATTGTCCTTTTTTTACTGGAAGACGTGTGCATACTCCATTGATGTTGTATTTGCAGTGGCTAAGGAATTCTTGTACAGTTTTCTTTGGCTTTACGAAGCTGATTAAAAGACCGTGTGAAACAAACCTTGCTCTGACAATTTCCCTTTTCATTGCACAACACACTCCGAGCTGCGGACTCTGGCAGCGAGTGCAGAGCACCTGGAGGAGGCGTAGGTCTGGGAGTCCTACTGCAGAGAGCTAGAGGAGGAAGGCAGAGTAAAGTGACTTGGGTCGGGCTTTGAGAACAGCTGACAGCCCCCTCTGGTTAGGTGAGCCAGGTGGGCAACAGGAATGGGTAGCTTAGGCCACAGGGCAGCCCCAGAGGCTCCTGATGGTGTCAGCTGGAGGGCTCCATGGGGCGGGCAGCTTAGCAGAGTTGTGGACGCTTGGGCACCTGACCCTGACACTGACTGGACGACCTTAGCCTAGCAGCAGGGTGCCCCAGGGTGACCAGACCAGGGCTGGTTAGTTAGCTCTGCTGTGCTTCACGACTTCTGAGCATTCTCTGCTAGCCTATGAAGCTGCAGCCCTCGGAGGACAGACGTGTTGTGCGCCCAACAGAACCTCCGAGATGCAAGCTGCTCCCTTGGCTAGCTCATTTGTGGAAATAGCCCTGTAATTCGAGGTAACTCCTTCCGCTCGTGTCCACATCCCTCCTTGTTGAGAGCTTATTTGAACGTAAGGTCATTTACCCGGGGAATGTTCTTTTGACTGCTTTTTGGTTTTCCCTTTTTTTTTTTTTTTTTTTTTTTAATTAAGCTAGAACAAAGTTAGGCCCAGCCGTTGGCCCTTCTTCCAGCAGCTGGGCCAGTGACTTGGAGCACAGAGTCACACCTTACTTGTAGGTATGATCTGATCCATCCAAAGGCAGGACTGGCGACCACCATGCACCCTGTATTTTGGGTTTTTTATTCATCAGTTGACAGCCTTCTCTAACCTAACTGTAGCACTCTCTGATGTCTGTTGCTGCCTTCAGTTTTTTTCCCAGAGCCCACGCTGGTCTCTGAGCAGCTCCATCCCAAGTGGGCAGCTGGCTCTACTTAAGGGTGGAGTATGGCACTGGCTGTGAAAGGCACAGGCCATCTTGGGCATGTGGCCTGTGACAGTGTCTGATGTCACAATCTGTGACTAACCTATGGGACCCTCATAGGTGCTATGGATGGTTGCAGGGGAGGCCGGGAGGAAAAGCTGTAAGCCCCACAAGGATAGCAGGGTTAACATTTCTTTGTTTTGGCAGGTTGAAGGAGACCCAGCCCGGCCATGGGGAAGGGTGGTCCAAGAGCAGCTATGACCTCGCAGGTCACCGTCCCAGGAGGGAATCTACTGGAACAAGAGCCAGAGATAGCACCTAGCTTCCTGTTTGCCCCCTGTAAGTGCCTAAAGGCTGGGTGACACCCTGTACCTGGATGTGCCTGAGCCCCCTTTCCCTCCTGCACCTGGTTCTGTTTTCTGGCCCCTCAGAGACCCAGTGTGGGCACCCGTCTGTGGTGTTGGAGGCTTCCTGCAAGGATGAGTGCCCAGGTTCCTGGGTCCACGCCAGCTCGGTGGCTCCTGCCATCACCCATCACTCCTTTGAGGAGGCCCTTCGTGGGGACCTCCGATGTACCAGGCTTCAAGTCTGTTCAGGAGGAAAGAAGAGCGAGCCATTGGTGTTAATGGCCGGTACAGTGGGCAGCCATCACCTGCAACTGTCAGGAAGTGGAAAGTGGGATCTTAATAAAATGGCATGTGTGACCCAGAAAGCGAAATCTCTGGTTTGGGGTTCGGTGTTAGAGGCTTGAGTGGCACGTGGTGAAGAGTCGGAAAAAAAGCCACCTGGATCTCTAATGTCGGGAGATGGACCAGGAGGTCATTGAAGACTGGGCAGCAGCCATCGCAGGATCCCCAGACCACTTTCGGGCCTGGACAGTTTTATGGGGTACAAGTATCACAGATAGCTTCCAAATTGATGGTGTCTACCTGGGGCAGCAGGGAGGTGGGATCAAGTTTCCTGTGGCTGTCTGGACGGGCCATATTGTAGCCCAATTGGGTTATCCAGGCCAGTAGGGTGTTTTTGGGCTGGGTGGGCTGTATGCTTCACGGTGTGATTGTGGGAAGAGGAGTGGGACAAGCTGTAGGCAGGGGGCGTGACAGTGGCCTGAGGACCCAACGCCCCGGACACGTCCAGGTTCCGGTCCAGTGCCCCTGAGGAACCTGTAGACCGGCCTGTAAGCGCCCACCTGGATAGGGGCAGCGGCTGGCCGCTGGGCGTTGTGGGTAACGCAGGACGGTGAGGTACTTTCCATCCTGGAGCTCCGCCCCCGCCGGCCATTGGCTGGCGTCTCTCTGCGCGCCTGAGTGGCAGCCGCGTGCAGGGGTGGGGCGCTGCCACTGCTTCCGCCGGGCCATGGGGCCGCGCGTGCTGCCGCTGCTGTTGCTGTTGCTGTTGCTGCACACGCTGCTGTGCGGAGCCGAGGACATCACACCCTCGCCTCTGCATCTCACTCAGGTCAAGCCCTCGCCGCCGCCTGCCGCGACAAACCGAAGCCAGCCAGGTGCAACCCACAACAGCACCTACGAGTGGCTTCCGGGCTCTCCGGGCTCGCCACTGCTGCGCTCTTTCTATGTGTTCACGGGGCTCAGCGTCCTGGCCGCCCTGTACTTCCTCATCCGGGCGTTCAGGTGCGTCAGACGTACGTCTCCGCCCTACCACGGCCAATCGGGGCGTGCCTTGCGCGTTTTGTGCTTGTCTTTGGGTCCCGCCCCCAGGCTGGGCGTGGGCTCTACGTTTGCGGTCTCTGTACCGTGGTTGGGCGGAGGGGGGCGGGGCGGGGAGTTTTGCAGTTACCTGACTTGTTTCTTAGCTTGAGTTTTTGATAGCAGTTGAGGTCAGGGTTTGGTTTAGCGTACTGCAGCCTCATAACAGGGACAATGCTGCCTATTTTCCTGATGGAACAAAGGAGGCAGGAGAGTGCCTGGGCGGGCCTTCCTAGGGGCACCAAGTAGTCACTCCTCAGGGAATCGCCTCTTCGCCTTCAACCCAGACACCCCGGACTCCGGGATTTGCGACTTCCTGCGCATTCATTGAACCGGGCCTGTTTCCGCACTGGTTCAGCCTGTTCGGTTCTCTACAGCTCGGTCGGAAGTGGGTGGGGATTTGAGGTGTGTGGGTGTGTGTTCGCTGTCCCCCGCCCGAGTATAGAGCTTGCACTGGAGGCTGCCCCCTTCATTCCAGGTTCTTCTGATTTCTTTCCTCTAGAGAGGTGTGAGTGGGAACCCCTGTCTTTCCTTTATGGCCCCAGCGTCCGCAAGTCAGGCTGCCCTGGTTTTCCTGCTCTCTGACCCATGTCCCCCTCTCGTTCCTTAACTACTTCCTGTGGCTTTCTTTACGGGGACTCAACTCTGGTAGGATCTTCATCCAGTCAAAGTCCAGTTGCCCTTTCTGAGCCTTGCCCAGGACCTGAATGCTAAAGGCTCTTAATTTCCTCATCCTTTTCCCGGCTGCTGTGGCCGGCAGGGCCTTCGGCTTGAGTTGGTGACTGTCACCTGTGAGGATCAGTTTTGCCATCTTTAAAATGGGAGCGAGAGCAGGCCCTTTCTGCAGGCTGAAGAAGCCACAGCGGAGGAGGTATGGGCTCCTGAACAACACTGAAGACCCCACTGAGATGACCTCCCTGGACAGTGATGAGGAGACTGTCTTTGAGACAAGAAATCTAAGATGGTAGGGGGCCTTCCTCACCAATAAGAGACCTGGGTAAGGGTTGGGGGCTCCACCATGTGGGGGGAGGCCTGCACACAGGTATAGCAGACAGACCGAGTTTCTTTTATCTTTAAAAAGAAGAAGGTACAGGCCTGTAATCCCAAGCTACTCTTCAGGCAGAGGTAGGAAGATGGAGATCTGAGGTGGGCACAGGCAAAAGCATGAAACCTTATCTGGGCAAAAAAAGCAAGAAAACTTATCTGGATAAAAAAGCAAAAGTACTGAGGGTATGGTTTAAAAGCCTGAGGCCCTGAGTTCCAATCCCCAGTACTGCAAAAAAAAAAAAAAACCCTAACTACAGGATGGTTAATCAGCAATGTTAGCTGGGGATGTATTTCAGTGGTAGGTCACTTGTCTAGCATGCCTGAGGCTCCATCCCCAATACCAGTACCACAGTCCTCACCCCCAAACATTGGCCCTGGGTGTGGCCAAGTTGTAGGGTCTGGAAGGCCTTTGGTGGCATGTAATGGGATCAGCCCCTGAAGAACATTATAGATAGAAGCAACAGCAGGGTTTACAGCCCTGAGGCTGGAGAGAAAGAAGATTGGACCACAGCACAGTCCTGAGCTGGAGTGACTACTGGTCTCTTATATCCTGGTGTGGCTGCCATGGCTCCCCTCAATCTCTTGGGGGTTGGCAGGCCTGGAGACCAGGAGACAGGGTCACTATGGGGTTGGGTTCTAGCTTTCCAAGCCCACTGAGGGAAGTAGACTCTAGCCTGGGAACTTCTCTGGTCTCTTTACTTTTTCTGGCTGGAATTCCCTTCTCCATGTGGTCAGTTAAGGAGAGTGGAATAGTGGTTTAAGGGGCTCTGGACCAACTGCCTCCACCCCTGGGCAGAACACTCTGTCCAACCAGGTTACAAGCAGGTCTCTGCTCAACAGGGTGGCCCCTTCTTTTCCTCTTATCCTGTATTCCTCACCTTCCAGACCAGGGGCCGTGGAAGGAAAGACAAGAGACAGCTGCTCCATTCTTCCACTGGCTTTGATGTTGGTGTTGCTGGGTGCCACCTAAAGCTCCACCATGGCCTGTGCAGCTTCCCTGAAGTTGGATCAACCCCCAATCTGGATAGCATGGCTTCACCTCCCCAGACACCCCTCAGCCTGGTTGGTGGAGTCCTGCAGCAGCCAAGGGGCCTCCAGAGCTGCTGCCCACAATTCAGCGGCCCCGTGACTGGACTGTGACTTTTGTCACTCCCCCTCTCCTGCAGGGACAGTAGCAGTCTGGGCTGAGGCCTGATGGGACTAAGGGGTCTCTGGGAGTGCCTTTTCACTGAGCTGGAGACAATAAATGAAGCAACGGCTTTGCAGTTGGCATCCAACCTTGCCTTGACCCAGACCCAGGTGTCCTGACATAGTAGCAGATTGGGTCTGCTACTATGATCTCAGGTTCTCCATCTGTGACCGCAGTGGGCTTCTGTGGCATTGCCCGAGCTGTCTAGAGGGTGAGTGGAGTCCTATGTGGTAGGGAGATGGTCTGTCTCCTACCTAGAAGGCTGTGTTCACCTGGAGGGAACAACCATCTCTTAAAAATCATGTTCCCCAGCAGCCTCATATGTACTTTAGCTTGGGGTTCAAGAGCTCTGCCCTCAGGAATACCCATCTCTGCCCACCAGCACCTTTGGGAGAGTTTTCCAGAGGAGCCTTGGAGCTGTGGTGCATAGCTGGAGATCCTGGCAGCTACCTGTGTACCCCTCCCTCAGCCTCTTGTGCCATTTCCACAGGCCGAGTCCCCATCCTGGGCTCCATGGGTTCCTTGGTGTGGGCCTGCTTCTTCCATGAGCTACTGGGAAGAGTCCAGCTGTGGCTTGTATCTCTGTATATTTGTCCTTAGATTGGGGGGACCTGGCCTGAGACCCCTACAGCCTGAGGTCTTCCCAGCTGCTGGCCAGAGCCTCCTACACTGTGTCATAAGGAAAAACTACCACCAGGTGGCAGCCCTATGCCTCCCAGCCGCCCTCCTCACCTCCCAGAAGCTGGTTCTTACATTCACACCAGGTGGGCTGATCCTGCTGCCCACACCCCTGACCCATAGGCTCTTGGGCTTTGTCCACCTCAAAGCCCTGCTGAGCCTAAGCCCCTGCCAGCCATCTGAGCACAGGGAAGCAGGAATATTACGGGCCAGGTTGGTCAGCCCTCTCCCCTCTGTATTAGTCCTGTCTTGTCTACTGCCTAATGTCAGACCAGGCCCCACCCTCCCATCTTCTCTGCCGTCTCAGCTGCCACCCCCAAGAAGTTTTTGCTGACAACCCTCAGCCCATTCTTTGGGAAGATAATGGTCATGCTAGGGAAGCTGCCCACCTCAGGGTGAGGCCAGATCCCAGGGAGCCCAGACCAGAAAGTGAGAGTCATAGGTGGGCAGCCCATTGGAGTCTGGCTGCTATTCTGCATCTATGTGGCCCTGTGGGTCTGGCTCAGCCCATCCAGTTTGTCTCCATATACCTCCTTCACTCCATCCAGCTCTGTCTCTCCATCTCTCCCCTTCGACCCACTGGGAAGCACTTTTAACAGATGCAAAGACACCGCGCTGGCCTCCACCCTGTGATCTGTGCCCCTTTCCCACAGCTGTGAGCCATTTCTCCAGCTTCAAAAGGCACATTAATTACTCTAATGAGGTCAGTAGAGACCCACGTGCTGCCATCCGGTGCTGGGAACATGCTAACAACCCCCCCCACCCACCCAGCCTGGCTGCCTCCTGTCTCTGCCCCTCCCCCCCCCCCCCCGCCTTGGAGAGGACCTGCTTCCTGTCCCTGTGCCTGTTGGGCCCATCCCCATGCCCCCCCCACCCCCACAAGCATTAGCATGGAGTAATTGGCCACCCCCACCAAGGTTAATGCACTATTAGCTGGGAGCTCAGCATGGCTAAAAGCCCTGAGAAGGGCCTGTCAGCATGAGATGAAAGGCCTGAGGTCTGCTGGTCCTCAGCCTGCATGTGTGCATGCATGTGTGTGCATGAGAGCACGGGAGGTGGCTCCCAGCACTTCCTGCACCTCATGGGTAGACACTGCAGGTACAGAACACAACTGTTGTAGACACAGGACTTGCAATATGGATAGCTGTGCACGCGGGCTGGGAGGGACGCAGCCTCACAACCTTAGCTCACTCATGCTTACGTGGGTATTGCCTTCATGGACCCTCAGCCCCAGCCAGTGGGACACTCAGACCTAAGGTCCCTTTTGACCTGCTGCCCTCAAGTGCCCACTGAACATGGGAAAAACTGGCCCCTTGGGGATCCAGCTAGCGTCTCAGGCCTGAGTTTGAGTCCTGGGTGACTCTCTGCAGTCTCCATCCCCAGCCTCAGCTTCTCCATCTGGAACATGGGGACAGGTAGATGTTGGGAAAAGGACGTGCAGGCTGGACACTTCAGGCTGTTGACTGACAGTGTTTTTCCTGGGGAGACAGGGTTGGGTAGTCTGCGGGCTCTAGCTCTGGAAGCTCCACAGATGTGGCCCCACCTACGAGACGTCAGGTGAGGGAGCTGCACCCCTCCCTGAGGTCACTGAGTCCCTGTTCCCCATCTGCTCTCCTCTGTAGGGGCTCAGCTGGGCATACACATAACCCCCATGGAGGCCTTGGGATGTCTCTGCCCCCAGGAAGCCATCAGTGTTTGCCCTTGACACATGAGGCTCCCCACATACACAACTACATGTGGATCCAAGAAGCACTTTCAGTTCCAGCATGGGAGTTAGACATTATGTGTGGCTGTTCACATTCATGGTGCTAGGAATACATGAAACAAAATCCCAGTCCTCAGCCATGTGGAGCTGCAGGCTCCCGTGTGGGACACATGCATCACTGTGCATGTCTGTCTCAGGAAGTTCTGGACATGGTGGTCCTGAGAAAACAGATTTGTGTTCAGGGTCTGGAGCTGTCGGGCAGGAGGAGAGTGAGAAGAGAGAAGGAAGAAGTGTGGAGAGGAGGGAAGGAGGAAGATGAGAAAGGAGGGAGGAGAGAGGAGGAAGAGGGGAGAGGCAGTTAGATGGAAGGGAGAAGGGTGAGATGAGGGTGAGAATGGGAGAAAGGTGAGGGAGGATTGGAAGGAAGGAGGAGGAAAGGAAAAGAGGGAGGGAGGATGATGAACAGGGAGGAAAGAGGAGGAGGGAAAAGAGGAAGGGAGGAGAATAAAGAGGGAGAAGGGAGAAGGAAGTAGGGGGAGAAAAGAGGGAGGGATGGAAGAACAGGGTGAAAACCAGCAGGGATGCAGTGCCTGTTGGGCCCAACTCATAGTGGGGTACAAGAATCCTAAGGTCCATGCTGAGATGTGGGGTGGTATTTAGTTTGCCAGTAGAGAGGGGGATACATTTTTCTGCAGCCCTAGGATATTCCCCCTGGCCCTCACTGAGTGAGGCTGGGGCTGGACACTGAGATGATCACCCCCCATTACTGTCCTGCAGGTGGCTGGCTGGAGTGATCAGGGCCCACTCTGATCACCCTACCTTACCTGATTGTGCTTCTAAAACCTCTTATGCCAGAGCAGGCGTCAGAACTGGTTCAATTTATTCCGTAATGAGAAATTTCTCTCTGCATATTTTTAGCCTCCTCCATGGCACTGTGGCCTTTGAAGGCTGAGGGGCTGCTAGATGCTGATCCCGAGCCCTGTAGCCTTGCCTGGTGGGCTACTGCGGCAGGTGGTGCTGGGTGGGGCGTGATGGACAGGCCTACTGGCACGGACTGGGGACTGGGCTGGGCCTTGACCAGCAAAGACCCTCCCAAGTGTGGGGCAGACCCCCAGCCCAATGGTGCAGACCCTGGTGGAGGACGGACCTGGGTGGACAGAGAAAAGTCTTGTCAAAGACCTGTCCTGGGTCTAGGCCTGGGGCTGACAGCTAACCCTCGTAACCTCTGACCCTAACTGACCCTTAAAGTAAAACTGACCTCTTATCCTTGACTGCAAAGGAAGTCTAATTTTGAATGACTCCTGACCCAGTTGACTCTGGCCAGCTGAGCCTCCAGGTGTGACAGCCCCCACCCTGGGAGGGGCCAGGTTCCTCAGGGCTCTTATTGTGGTGGGCCAAAGGGCTCCCCTGGAGCAGCCTTGCAGGCCAGGTTTGGAGCTGTAAGCCCTGCTCTCCCATCCCTCCTGATCCTCAGGAGTGGCCAACGGGCATGAGGAGGTTGAATGGGGGACAGCTGCCTTTGTTCTTGTCCCTGCGCAGGCTCTGACCTTGAGAGAGAGACAAGAACAGAAGGAAAGCGGAGCTTCTGCTCAAATCCGCTCCACGACTTGGTGGCCCCTGCATGCAAATGAGCAGGCCTGCCAGGCCTTTTGAGGTGGTCCTGTCACCCGGTGCCCTTGCGGCTAGCCCTGGCATGTCAATGCCTGCTGGGTCTGAGAGACAAGACCCCTGCCTGTGCACACCTCCCCACCCACATAGCAAGAGGGGCTCCCTGCCAATGGTAGGGGTGATGCTGAACACCCACCTTTGCAGGTCGGATGCTCTGGGCTCGAGGTGGAGGTGTGCATGCGCCTCTGCTGGGGAGGTGTCTCTGCCTGGGAGAGACCACCCTTCTGTTTACCAGAGACCCAGAGTAGATCAAACCCCTAGGACTCTTCCTGGGAGCCAGTGTCCTGCCTCCCCACAGGTGGCTAGTGAGTCAATCTGGAGATCCTGCCAGTTGACTCCAAGCTGCCTTTGCCACACTTGGGGCAGATCCCCATTCTCCTCTGTGGAGCCACCTGGGCCTTTCAAAGTGTAGGTTCCCTAGACCCTGCACCAAGCCCAATGCATAAAACAAACCAGAGGTGGGACCTGGCTGGATACCTCGGGCACTTCCCAGCCAGAACTTGGTAGCACTGTACCCTCCACAAGCTCAGAGTCTGAACAGGGATCCTGTGGCATAAGTAAGGACAAAAATAGAGGGCAGGTCCCTAGTTCTTGCCTGCAGCCAATCTCCCTGGATAGGTCACTCTGAGTCCCCTGAATAGGTCAGAGAATGGGCCCTCCATGGTTTTCCATTCTCCATTTGCACAAGGGATTCCTGTGGGTTGTCTTGTTTGCTGTTGGCCCTGCAACTCCCTCTGGGCTTTTCTGAATCACATCTGAACTGATCAGACAATCTACATTGGGCCACCTGCTTTATGTCTGGCACCCTTGGGGTTCATTCAGGTGGGCACTGCTGGACTGTCCAGAAAGGAACATGCAGCAGAGGAACCAGTGGATTTGGGTCAGCCAGACGCCAAAACTCTCCACTGGCCCCAGGGAGGGCTCAGAGCTGGCTTGGATGACTTCAGGACTTTTATGTCCATAGTGTTCGAAGTGGCAAGTCCTGCATCTTTACTAGCATAAGGTGGGGCTCTGCAGAGGGCCTGGTGCAGCGCGCCGAGGTGCTGGAGGCCCACGTCGCCTTCCCTGAGACCGTCGCAGGACTCAGACACACCCTCTCTTTTTCCTTCGCAGATTTAGGGTTGGGGCGGGACCCTGGGGATCCCGCAGCCCGCTGCTAGCCGAGTCTGGCCTAGGCGGGGCTCGGCTGAGGCTGGAGCCCCCCGCCCAGCCTCACGCGACTGGGTGCGGCGGGAGGGGGCGCCCGCGACACTCCCTGCGCTCGGGTGGGACAAAGGCCAGAGCTGGCTCCTCCCCGGGGCCCGAGAGTCCGCGCGCGGCCGGGTCCGCGCCGGGGACTCCCGGCGCCGCGCCCCACCATCGGCTGGCTTCTCGGCGCCTAAGGTCGCTCGCTCGCGCGCGCGCGGAGGCGGGGCGGCGGAGATCTCCAAGCGCGCCGTGCGCTCCGCCCGCTCTGTGGCGGCGGAGGAGGCGGAGACGCGGGCAGGCGGCGGCCGGAGAGCGCTGCGGCCGGACCGGGGCCATGGCGCCCGCGCAGCGCCCGCTGCTGCCGCTGCTGCTACTGCTGCTACCTCTGCGCGCGCGCGCGGAGGACGCCGCCCGCGCCAACGCCGACCGGTACGCCGTGTACTGGAATCGCAGCAACCCCAGGTGAGTGCGGCTCCGGGCCCCTTGGGCCACCCGCCACCAGCCTCCCCCCAGGCCCCAGCCCGGACGCCCCGCGCACTGCCGTCCGGGTGGGCACACGGCGCCTGCGGGGACCCCTGGGAAGTGTCGGTGTCCCGGAGTTTAGGGGACATGCGCGTCCCATGCATTCCCACCAGGGTCCCACTCCCGTGCAGACTCGCTTGCCCGGCATTCCCCAGAGCGCTCACGCCTCCCGGAGTTCGGGGAACCACTGCACCCTCAGAAGCCGGGCAGTCCTTAAGTTCCTCCGAAGACCCCCTGATGCCCTGGTCTCTCCCGGGATCCTCGAAGGCTGAGGAGTTAGGGGTCCTCAGATCCCAGGGGACCTTGGCACTTAGGGGTCCGGCGGTGGGGGCTGTGGCTGTAAGATCTGTGATACCTCAGGCACTTCCTGAGCGCTTCTGTGGGAGGCTTCCTAGATGAACTTGGGGAAGTTGGAATGTCCCTCAGTACCTTGTCTTCTCTCGCCTTCACTCCAGGGGGTCTCTGGTCCTGGTTTTGTAGCACAGAGACTGAAGTACCAAAGGTCAGCCTGAGAGGTGCAACCTAGCAATGTCCTCTTTCCTCCGCTTGAAGCTGATGGGGAAACTGAGTTGCAGGGGGATGAGGGGCTGGCTCAAGGTCAAAGCCAAGGCAGTAGAGCTGAGGTGGGACCCAGGTAGCCTGGTGCCCAGCCTGCCACACCTGGCAGAGGGACCCTGCCTGCCTGCAGCACAGGGTAGGTGTGTTGGACTCACCAGACACTGAGTACAATTTGGGGGATGGCAGAAGCCTTATGTTACTCTGAGCGAGAAAAGTTAGCTGACCATTGACCATGTCCTAGACATCCATAGAACCCTCTGGGCCATTCCAAGGTCTCAGAGGCTGGAGCAGCCTGGGGGTCTTGTAGGAGGTGGGCCTTTGGGGTTTCTGAGGCTCACAGTTCAGCCCCAGCACTCAGAATCTCACAGGCTGCCCAAGGCTAGCCAGGCTGCACACCGGGGGCTGAGTTTGCTGGCTCCCTGCTCCCAGCTTCTCTGCCACCAGTTACTTTCTCCCCGTGTTCCAGCTGCTTCATGTGCAGGCGGCCAAGCTGCCCTCCTGAGCAGCTCTTGTCCTAGCGTCTCCTGCTGCCTGATCCTCAGGCAGAAAGTTGCATAAAGGGCTGTCTTTGAGGCAGGCTCTGGGACAAGTGCAGCCAGTGTCCCGCCGTGGGGGTGGGGAGTGTGCCAGATTCCCCCCCCCCCCCCCCCCCCCCCCCCCGCCATTTATGCAGGCATGTGGGGTTGAACTCCCAGAGTGGAGGGCAGGGACCCCAGAGAGCCAGGCCACTGCCAAGCAGGTACTGCACTGCCTGCTGTGCTGGTCGCCTGTGGATTTGATTAAGGCTCTTCCCTGTTGCTGGCCAAGCCCAGTAAATAGCGCTTCTCCAGCCTAAGTTTTTGGTTTCAGTTCTGGAATCTCCTTCACCAGCATGGTCTATCCTTTGTTCTGAAAACACTGTAGGAACCTGGGATGGGGAAGGAAGGGTTTCAGGGCCCCCTTGCTCCCCCCACCTGTCATAGGGCTACTGGTTGCAGGCTGAACCCCCAGCCCGGGGAAGTAGGTGACCCCCCCAGGACCTGGCTTGGGCAGACCAGTGGCCCACCTCCTGCTGCTGCGTGACCTGACTGTGCTGTTCCCATCATTGCCCAAGGGTACAGCCAGGTAGGTGGCAGAGATGATCTGTAGCAGACTTCCTCAGCCTCCCTATCTGACTCAACTCCTTCTCCTGCCTTGGGTCTCCAGGTCACCGGTGGCTATCTCCGACACCCTGCAGTGGGGCCCAGGGCCCAGCCAGCACCTTGTTCAGAAGCCCGGCTCTGTCCAGAATGGGGCTTCGTCATTGATGTTGGGAGCACTACAGAAGGGGGGTTGTCTCACTGTCTGGGGACCCCTCAAGAGATTTGGTGTTCAGGGACCGGTAGACAAGAACTTATGCTTGGGTAATGGGAGTATAGGGCACGGCAAAAGGTGTGGTCTCCTCTGGTGTCCGTCGGAGGTGACCTAGTGACAGAGACATTGGCCCAGAGAGAAGGATAGGGTCTGTGCCCATTCCGGAGTGTGAGGTAGAGCTGGGTGGCAAGACAAGGATGGAGTTGGAGCAGAGACATTGATGGTGACATTGGACAGAGGAGATGTGGGGAGAGGCAGGGCACAGGGCACACAAAAGGCAATGAGCAGGGGCAGCAGAGGGGGGTGGGCACATTCCAGTGGGGACAGACAGCCATGTAGAAGCCCAGGGGAGTGATGTGCTCACTCAGGTGGGGACCCACAGGCCAGGTGGCATTTCAGGGAAGCCAGCGCCTCTCCTGCCTGGCTGGCTATGCTGGCTAAAACCTGCACCCAGGTAATAAGTATGTGCCTGTTACCCACATTACATTCTCCTTGCAGAGGGTTTCCTTTGCCCATGCTGCCGCAGACGAGGCCCCCCACCCATTTGCTTAGGCATTATAGGGTGGGGTCCTGCCGGGTGGTTTAGCCACTGGCCCCACACCCCCTCCAGTCAGCTGTCTAGGTCTGTTGGACCAGCTTCTGCCTGGCTTGGGCATCCTGGGCTGACTGCTGGGTGTCTCTGGGCCTGCCCCCTATCTGCACAGACTGTCTAGGGACGTCCCTGGCTTGGCCCTGGCCTGGCTGGCCTCCCCTGACCTGTACATAACGTTTTGCATGGGTTTGCATGGCGGTTCATGTGCATCTGTATTTGTGAGGAGGAGATGCGCCTAGGGTCTCATTGAGCCTTGTGACTATGTGTTCTTGTCCACAGTATGCAGGGGTCCTGGGGGGAGTGTTTATCTGTGTGGGCGCACATGTCTGCTTTTGGTAGGGTGTCGCATGGAAACCGCAGCCTTGACTCTGGTGTGTTTCACGCATATCTGCGTGATTGTGCATGGAGTGCAAATGTGTGCCTGCATGTAGCATGTACCCACATTTCACGAGCATGTCTGCACAGAATGCCTGCTGTGTTGGGGCGCATAGCTGTGTCTGCCTGCAATGCATGTATGAGTGCGTGTGCAGTCTGCGTGTCATGCATATGTGGGTCTGCTTGTAGTATGCATGTGTGAGCTGTGTGTCAGGGTGTGGATTGCACACATGTGTGCACATCTGTGTGGGTGTGTGCCTGGGGCCTGAGTGGGGTGAGTTCTGGCTACCCAGAGCCTGCAGTGTGGGAGCAGCAGCCCCAGGATGGTCCACACTGTGACCTTGCTGTTTGCCCCTCTTTGTCCCAGAGCAAGCATCATGCAGGATGCCTGCTGTCTTCAGGAGTCCCTATCTGAGTGGAGCAGTGCTGATTGAGGTAGGGGGTCTCTAGGGTCAGTGCCACCCCAAATGTACATGGCCGGTGGCTCTTGGTGTGGGCAGTGATGAACTGTTCTCCATGTAGGAAACGCCAGGTAGGAAAATGATGATGCACTGGTCCCTGAGGGAGGTGCATTCACCTTGGCAGAGGTGGCTAGGTGTCCCAGTCTGTGGGGCTCTGATGGCCTTGCTCCGTCTCTAGGGAACTGGCATTGAAATGGACAATGCTGTGTTTGCCACACAAAGGGTGTGTGTGGGTGTGTGTGGGTGTGTGTGTGTGCGCGCGATTATTAGCCAGGCTCATGGGCTTGAGGATTTGGGACCAGGGTTGGGGTCCAGGGGCTATTGGGAACCCAGGGCTCAGACTTAGGAGTCTGGGAGACCTGGATGGGAACCCTGGCACTAGCATGGCTGTTCAGAGCCCAGTGTGGATGGGCCAGGCTCAAGCATGATCCATGATCTGAGGAGCTCAAAGGGAAACTGAGGCAACTCTTGTGTTTGGGGCCAGGACCCACGTCCACAGTGGTAGCACAATTCAGCCCAAATCCCAGTCACCAGACAGGGATTTTGTGTCTCCGTCTCTCTGGATTCCTGTTTTTATCCTTCTCTGGGCTTCCTAGCATATGTAGGGACTGCATTCTTCTCCCGCCCCCCTCCCCAGTCCTTCTGCATGGTGGACACAAAGCAACTTGTTGTCCTTTGCCCATTGCCTTCTCCTGAAGGGTCTGCAGGTTCTGAGGGTTACAGGCAGTAGAAGGGGATGGCACCTGGGGATGGCAAATGAACAGCACAGCCTGGACCATGGCATCTGGTAGAACCAAAGGCTTTCCTCTGTCGGCCTACCACTCCAACCTGCCCTTTCTCTTCAGCCTTGCGTGTGTTCTGTGACAATGCCCCCTTCCCTTCTTCTGGGAACTGAGCTGTGGCTGGGCCTTGCCCAGTGTGGTTGTGGGAGTGGTAGATGTTCTCATAGTGATGGGTTCAGGGAGACTGCTCAGCTGTGTCCCCCTAGCCTATGCAGGCCATGCCAGGGGAAGGGCAGAGCCATCTCTCGGCCCTGTCCCCACCATGTGGGTGCTGTTCCAGACAGGGCTGAAAGCCTGGCACTAGGCAGCAGACAAGCCAGGGGGACTTTTGTTTTAACCTCAACCAGACATTTTAACTCTGTGGCCAGTAAGCCCAGTCGAGAGCTTGTTTCCTCTTCTGTGCCTATGTCCTCAGCCTTTGTGTATCTGCTGTGTTTTGGTCTCCCAGTGTGACCCAGAGGCCTTGGCTTCAAGGGTGTCACTCATACCCATGCTGCCCCTCAGCACATCTCCTAATCCACCTGTCCTGGGGGTCTGGTTCTCCCACCTCAAGGACAAGGTAGTCCTGAAAGAGTGTGGCTTGTCCAAGACTACCAGAAGCTATTACAGTTGGGGGTTGCCATGTCCTAGCAAGATGGCAGCACATCTGGACTGGCTGAGAAGGGTCAGGAACAGCCTTCGTGTAATTTGGGGACCAAGAGCAGTGTACCTTCTGGACCTGCCCCTGCTGTCATGTCTCCCTGAGCCTTTGCCTCCACTCCCCACCCCCCCAGGCTTTCATCTTTCATTTCCGCCTAGCCCATTCTTCTCTTTTCTTTTTTCTTTTTTTTTTTTTAATGTTTGGGCTGAACCTGAGGCTTCCCACATTGTAGGGTTAGGGTTAGGTTCCCAGCCTTCCAATTTTTCTCTCTTGCTTTGGCTCTGGGACCCTTACCTCAGTTTTTATTCCTGTACCCAATAACAAGTTTATTGTTGCCTTTTCTCTGGCTCAGTCTGCACCATCTGGAGGACCTTAATTTCATGTGAGATCCTGGCCAGTCCAAGATAGGGGTGCCATAGCCCCTCAAAAGCTGGGAGTGACCATGGCCCCAGCTGGGCCTCATGACCTCACCTGCCTTTCACCAACTGGCCTGGGTCCCTGATAGTGTCTCCACCTGGCAGAGAGATGGCCCCACGTGTAGGTGCAATGTGGGAAGTTGTCCACTGTTTGTCCACAGGCCCGTGCCACGGGCCGCACAAGTGCCTCCGTTTTCAGTTTGGGAAGGTGGCCAGCCCACCCCATGCCAGTTTTGGGTGAGACTCCTAATTAGTTGTTTTGCTATTAGTGTCTAATGACTTCACAGGCAGAGACTGGAGTTCATTAGCTGCGGGACGGGTGGTAACTGGGAAGGGCCGGGGTAGCCTGGGGAGGGCCATTTGTGGAGCCCCGGCAGATAGGCTCTGCAGGAGGGTGGAGAGGCACTTCCTGGAGGGGTGGACTGATACTGGATGGCCAGTGGGATGGACAGTGGGGAAGACCCTGTGGAGAGATCCCACATCAGCCATTAACCCCTTTAGTGAGAATCCCTACAAGTGCATTTGCATATTCAGGATAATGGAGGAGACAAGGCTTTGTCTTGTTCTCACCAGGCTGGGTTTTGGGGTCTCCCCCACTGCAGGTGCCACCCTGAGCAGGGGCAAGGTACCTGCCCCTGGCTTAGTCACCAACTTGAATCCAAGAATGCTAGCACAGCAAGGCCATCTCTGTTTTAGAGCCAAGAAGGGAAAAAATGACCCACTTAGGCGGCCAGAGGAAGGTGACCAATCCTGGGACCCTCCTACCTGGGATCCTCACCCCCTACACCCATGCACCTGGGAGCTGCTTTCTGCTCTCCACAACTCCAAATCTTTGAACCCTGGACCTTTTTAATTCACTTGTTCCATCAACAAACACATATTGGGCACCACTACATGCAGGGCCTGAACTGGTAAGGGAGGAGACAGATGTGAAGGTGTAGATATGATAATATCACATGTGGGAAATTAGGGAAGCATTCTCGTCAGTGGGGACAGCATATACAAAAGCCCTGGGGTAGGGATGAGAACAACAGAGTCTGGTTTGGCTGGTAGGGAGTGAGCAAGACAGTAACAGGTTCTTGAGGGTGGGTGTTGCCCATATGGGGCCTGGGAGGACCTTGGATTGTGTTCTGAGCATTGAGAAGGAATGGAAGACTCTGGGCAGGAGAGTCACAGAGTCTGATTTATACTCAGAAAAGCTATCTATGTGTGGATTTAGGGAGAACACGGCCTGGCAGGCCCTCGCTGGTTTGCGGAGGCCTAGCATGGAGCCCTTCCAAGACAGCAAGGCAGCCACCATCTCTGACATTGTATGGAAGACGAAAGGGAAGGAGAGAATGTGCTGGTATTAGATGCAGGCATTGTGTGGACACAGGTAGAGTGGAAGGGGCACACTGACTTTGATTTCAGGGTCCATCTCAAGAGGGCCCTGCACAGTGAGATTCTCTTTGAGGTTGGATGTGGATCCTTTCAGGGATGGGAGGGTTAACTGAGGGCCAAAGTGGGTGGGGGCTGCCATAGGGCCCCTGCTCCCCTGGGATTCCCATCGCAGCCTCACCTACAGGTTCCTGGTTGTGGGCCAGGATGCCGGCCATCAGGAGCAATGGGGCTTTTGCTTTTAAAGAAAGTGGGATCACTGCCACAGCCGGCGCAAGAGTAGGGGTGTTCCAGCCTGTCCTCTTGGAGCCTTTCCCTGAGTAGACTGTCTCTGGTCTCTGCAGCCCTGATTTCAGACAGGCTCTAAGTCCTAAGAAATACCCCTTGCACAGAGAGGAAACAGGGGCTCAGCTGGGCTAAAACAGCACCTGAGGCCAGTACTACGCAACTCCCAGGGCCTCAGACTCTGCACACTGGCCTCTGAGGTTCACAAGATGGGGTGATGATGGGATAGGGTGTGTTCCCTCCAGCCCCATCCTTAGCTGCTTCCAGCAGCATGGGGTCTGGGCTATAAGCACCTCTACTCCCTGCCCTTCGGCTCTACCTGGGCTCTGGAAATCTGACTGGATCCCCAGTGACTGATGGGGAAACTGGGGAACACGCAAGCAGGACTCCTGTCTCATCCTACCCCTCGGGACCCTGGAACCTTCAGTCCTGCCTGGTTCGGTATCTGGGGCAGTAGGATGCCAGGTGATGGCATCTGATGCTCAGGGCACCAGTGGGAGCGGTCCTGCCTCATGCTGCTAGCCTTCGCTGGGCCTCAGTTTCCTGGGTTGTGCAGGGAGGAGGAGTCAAGAGGAGCAGAGGGCAGCCCTCCTGCACCCTGGCTGGCAGGGCTTTCATGTGCTAATGAAGTTCTGCAGGGCCTCCCTAGACCCCTTGGCCAACACATTTACATGGGGGGGGAAGCCTGGGGGGGGAAGACACAGTTGGGGAGATCTGAGGGCTCTGCCTCTGTAGCCTAAGGCAGAGATGGAAGGGGAGCTGTGGTGTAGCCCCCCCACCTGACCTCCATCCTCCAAGACAAGGTTGGGTCAGGGCCACTCCAGGCAAGGGCTGTAGGAAAGCCGGGACCTCCAGGGCAGAAGCTGGACGCAGGACTGGTGGGGGCGGGTGGAGTGTCCAGGGGTTCAGGACGCTGCTTTCAGTTCCAGACTCAAGTGTCTCAGGTTGAGCATACGCTTCGAGAGGGTAAGAGACTGGGTCACACAGCATGGAAGGCGGGGAGCCGGGGTGGATCGCAGGACGTCTCTGAGCTGGACACAGAGTGTCCTCCTTTCCAAGCTCTGTAGGAAACTGAGGCTGGAGTTAGGGACAATGAAGCCTGCAGCTGGCCAGAAGGGAGGGGTGATGTCAGGCTCTGTGGATACCAACCTTGACCCCAGAGAGCACCTGTGGACACATCTCTCTGTCCATTCTATCCACTGCTCAGCCTCCCGGCCTGCGCAGTAGCATCCTGACCACCCCTCCCCGGCAGGTTCCACATGGGCTCAGCGGGCGATGGCAGTGGCTACACGGTGGAGGTGAGCATCAACGACTACCTGGACATCTACTGCCCGCACTACGGGGCACCGCTGCCGCCAGCAGAGCACATGGAGCACTACGTGCTGTACATGGTGAACGGCGAGGGCCACGCATCCTGCGACCATCGGCAGCGCGGCTTCAAGCGTTGGGAATGTAACAGGCCTGCGGCGCCTGGGGGGCCACTCAAGTTCTCCGAGAAGTTCCAGCTCTTCACGCCCTTCTCGCTGGGCTTCGAGTTCCGTCCTGGCCACGAGTACTACTACATCTGTGAGTGGCCAGGACCAGCGAGGGGCCCTCTCCTGGCGCTGGCCACTGCCATGTAGGGAAACTGAGTCTCAGAGTGGGGCTGAGGCCACACTCCTCATGGTGACCTCAGCCTTTGGCTTGGGAAGCTATGGGATCTGCCATCAGCCACCCTGACCAGAGGCACCCAGTCCCCAGTATCCTGATATTCAGAGACAGTGGTGGAGGGGAGCCGTTGTTCTCCCAGCCACACCCTAGAAGGGCAGGAGTCTCCTAGCACCTGGTCACCCCATCTCCTCAAGACTCCCCGAGGAGGGAGGAAAATTCATTTGAGGTCAGTTAGTGGCATCTGGGTTATGCAGGCCTGTGGAGCCTCACAGTGGGCTGGGCTAGGGAAAGGTCACCCCATCCTGTGGCACACTGGGACAGCCCTCTGCATAAAATGCCAATGGCAGGGGAGATGCTTAGCAGTTATCCAGGTTCCACTGGAACCTAGCAGCCAGGAACGTGGGGGTCCCCATATTGCTTGCCAGGATATGGAGAGGGACTCAAGGCCTTTGCTGTGCTGTGGAGACCAAGAGGTCCCCATGGAGTGGGGATCCCTGTTTCTTGGCACCTTGGGGACCCAGCAAGGAGCAGAGTGGAGAGGGGGAGTTCTGATCCCCTGAGGGCTGCAGGAGGACTCTTGGGTGCTCTTGCCACCCTGGCTCCCGCTGTGTCAAATTAAACTTCTCCTTTCTTTGCTATATTTGGATTTTTTTCTCTTTTAATTCAGGGAAGAAGCCAGTGGGGGAGGGGGCAGAAGATGTTTAAATTAAGTCTCATAATATAAGAAAAATTACATTTTTCTTTCCAAGATGGGAGTTTCATAAAGACAATTATTATAATTATTCGTCCTGTCTCTATGACGAATGTTATTTTTATTAAGTACTTTTTCATGTCCTACCTAGCATGAGAGGCTGCTGGGGGGCAAGTAGGGGTAGTGACCAGGCCTGGGTACCAGCTATGTCTGCAAGTACGTGGACATTATTTGTCATTCCTGGCCACACCCTGCCACCTTACTGGACTTGACTTCCTTCCCCCATCTCCTGATCCATGGCTGACACCAGTGTACATCCAGACCCCTTTTGGGCATCTGCCCTTTGGGCCAAAGAGCAGGGGTTTCTCTGGCTGAAGCCCTTGGTGGTTGGTGGCTTCTGCCTCATGTTCCTCCTGCTGTCTGACCCTCTCTGGGTGAGATGGGGACTTGCCTCTCTCACTGGGTCACTGGCTCTCCTCAGGCTGGGGTGTGGTTTGGTGGCAGAGTTCTTGTCTAGTGTGTGAGAGACCCTGATTCCATCCCCAGTACTACAAAAGACCCACAAGGGATCATTCACAGAGCACCTTTCATGTGCTACCACAGCCCAGAGAAATAGAGAACAGGGATCGATGCATGATTACAAGTTTTATGGGTAGATCCCCACTGGGGTCGAAATTGGGTCACCACTGTGGAGAAGGGGTGGGATAGCCCCAAGAGGTCTTGGACACCAAGAGTCCCTCTGTCCCCTCTCTTCCAGCTGCCACACCTCCCAATGCCGTGGACCGGCCTTGCCTGCGGCTGAAGGTTTATGTGCGGCCAACGAGTAAGTGGTCAGGGGGAGGGGCAGGGTCCCTATCACCGTGTCCTCAACCTGTGAGTAGTCCAAAGGGCTGGGATGGGATGGCCCAGCACACCATCAGACATGGCTGGGGCAGGCCACACCCTTGAGCCTCAGTTTCCCCATCTTCCAATGTGTCAGACCATCTCAAGTAAAAATTGAAGTCCACGGCCAAGCCCTGCACTGACCACCTTGTCTCTGTGTCCCCTCTAGACGAGACCCTGTATGAGGCCCCTGAGCCCATCTTCACCAGTAATAACTCCTGCAGTGGCCTCGGCAGCTGCCGCCTCTTCCTGAGTACTGTCCCAGTGCTCTGGACCCTCCTGGGCTCCTAGCCTCATCCCTGAAGGATGCTGGCCCCACCTGGAAGCCCTGCCTGGACCACAAACCTTGGCCCTGCGGACCCACAACGGCTGCCACAAAGACCAAATAAACGCTGCTTCTTCCCGATGGTGCTGCCCCACTGGAGGGGCCATCCACCTGCCCCAGGATGGGCAGCGAGGACCCCAATGCCTGAGGGGGCCCTGGGTATCCATGCAGCCCTGACCTAGCCACTTCCTCCAGGGAACCTGGGGAACCTGAGGTCTCTTGGCGATTTTTGTTTTTTAGTGTATTTTCCATGGTCAGATCAGAAAGACTTGTTTTTAACTTAATTTATTCCCTGATGTTGCTGGTGACTTTGGGAAGGAAAGAGAATTGAGGGGGTTCTGGGGATACTGAACCTGGCTGCTCCTGTGCTCTGCACCCCATTTGCTGGGTACTGACTGGATCCCATTGCAGACTGCCAGGTATCCTGGGGTGAGGGAGCCTGGGCTGGAAGGGGTGTACAGTGTGAACTGCTAGTTGTGGTCCAGGGGGCCTCAGGCTCTCACCTTACTCCCCTCACACCTGGGAATTGTTTTCATGCCACCATTGAGCCCCAGCCCACTTGTAGGGGGGTTCACAGCCCCCCCCCATCTTAGAGACCACTTCAGCCGGGGGAAACAAAGCTCCCCCAACCCATGAGAGCCTCTCCCTGCCTGGCATGACCATCTCCAGGGCTGGAAAGACATATTTCTGTAAATAGAGCCAGCAAGTATATACTGTGACTTATTTTTAATGTATTCCTGAAGACGGACTAGAAAGTCTATCTTTTTCTCAGCCCTTCTTTGGGGACCTTTTATTTTGGTGGGGGGTGGGGAGGACTTTTTAGAATAGAAACAACACTTTGCAATAAGCTTGTTTCGTCTGTCAGAGCCCCCCTCCCTCAACTCTGTGACTTAACGATGTTTCTAAGGTAAAAAAAGAAAAAGAAAATGGGCAGAACAAAAGGGCAGGGGAACTACTACCAAAAAAACTCCTCCTGAAGACAATTTAATGAAGGAAAACAGCACATTTATACCAATTTCATATTTCTACCCGTCTTTCCTGACTCTGTGTTTTATATATATTATATATAAATATATATTGTGTAACAGCCGCCAGGAGATGGCTGGAGCCTGCCTGTGGTGAGGGGTGGGCCTGGGGCTTTTGTAGGGGCTTCGGGTTGGGCGGCGGGGCCTCCCCCTCCCATCACAATCAACTTTGGATTCTGTATTTTTTTATAATAAAATGTATAAATCTCAAAAGTGTTCATCTATATTTGGGGCCATTGACCTTAGTTGCAGGAGTGTTGGGATTTAGAGCTGGGTCTGGAATGCCCCAGGGAACCGGGGAGGCGTCTAGGTGGTGTAACTGGGGCCCTGGAGCCCAAGAGGAACCTGTGGTCTTGGTCACAATGGTGACTTTGGATTCTGGCATTGTTCTAGGGCCAGGCCTCGGAATGAGAGTTTTGTGGCTATCATATCCTTATTCATCCTTGGATCTGTTTCCTGCTCTGTGCAGCCAGGAGGAGATAGGGCCTGTGCATGGCTGGCTCTGGGTATACAGCAGGGGCTTAGATGTATCTACCTGCTGCACCTGAGCAGGCAGGAATCTGGGGTGTACTCGGCTGCTCACAGCCCCACTGTTGCTGGTCCAGGTTTGGGGCGTGGGGAGGTCTCCAATTCTGAGACTGTTCTCTCTGCAACACCTCCACCGAGCTACGCTGCTCTGTGTCTGTTTTCCCACCTGCTGCGGTGGGTGTCTAGACTCTTAATCCCATTCTCTCTGCAGAAGGCAGGTCTGGGGTCCCAGAGATCCTCACCCCAGCTGAGCCTTGAATCAGGGAGCTGAGGCAGAAAGACTGGGGACCCTAGCTGGCAGGTAACCCTTGGAGGGGCTGAGATCCTTGCGGCCCATTGTCATCTGTGTCCCACCTGCCACGCTACAGTGTCTCGGGCACAATTAGTGAGAGGCAATGCTCTCAGCCCATTAATTCAGCTGCGTTGGGCCTGGCAACAGGGGCTGCCTCCTAATGAGCCAGTGATCTACACAAAGGGCCCTGTGTGCACTACCCGGCTCTGCCTAGGCCCTGCAGAGGATGGACAGGCAGATAGACGCAGCCATGGTGAGCACCTCGAGGAGGCCTAGGATCCCCCATTCCCAGAAGATGACCTCAAGACTCAGACAGGCCTCATACCCAAACACTTCTGCCAGTCCACAGGGACCAGGGTGACAGAAGGGGAGAATGAGACTCAGGGTTCCTGTCAGCTGATGAATGTTATTAAAAACACAACAGATTTATTGAGATATAAGTCACATATCACTCAAATTCCCTGGAGTTTGCAGAACCAGAGTTGTACAACCACTACTTCTGTTGAGTTCCAGAACATTTCATCAATCCAACAGGCAGCCCTGTCCCCATGAGCAGTCACCCCATCCTCTCCCCAGCCCCTGCACCCACAAGTCTACTTCCTGTCTCTGGACTCACCTGTACTGGACATTTCCTATCAATGGCTCACACACTGTGTGCCCTTGTATGTCTGGTTCTTCTACTGAGTGCAATCAATGTCCAGGTCCCTCCACACTGTAGCATACATCAGAGCCTTGTCTTGTTCATGACTGAGTGATGTTCCAGTGTGGATGGACCATGCTGTATGTGTCCATCAGTGGATACTGGGCTGTCCCCACCCTTTAGTTATTATGACAACTTTATCATTTTAGAGACACAAGGTGACTTTGGGTAAATGCAAACACACTAGGGTCCCCACCTCAGGGCCCAGGGAACTCTTCCCACAGATGAACCCTTGGCATTGCCTGCATCATGGTCCAATCAAACATCACTTCTTGACCTCCCTGGCCATGGGCCACTCATTGTAGCCTCCTCTCTGTCATGTTTCATTCATTGCTCCATCCCCCAGGATGGGAGCCCCAGAGGGCAGGGCATGTCTCTCTTGGTTTTGTTTGGACAGTGGCCTGCCTGCAGCAGCTCCCCCTCCCCCAGCATCAGCACCATACGCACACATCAGCATAGCCCTGGGCACGAGCAGTGGGCACCCTGTGCACCCGTGTGCAGTGACCAAACACATGCATTTGGGGCCTGTGTCTCTCAGGAACTTGTCCCTCTCCCTTTGCTGGCCACCATCAGCATGCAGACCAGGAGTTGCATCACATCATAACAACCCCTGAACCACAACGGCCCTTCTACATGGCTAGTGACCTGCAGCTCCAGCCAGTTCCCAGGCTCTGCAGGCACTGCAGCTGGCTGCAGCCATCAGCCATCGGTATGCCTATCCTGTGTGGAGCCTTCAACGCCCAGAGCTTCCAGAGGGAAGTTATTTCTCTCCTGCTGCCAATTACTGCCACCTCAGTGACCGCAGCGGGCAGGGGGCAGAGGAAGCTGGGGATGGGGGCAGTGAGTTCTGAGGTCCCGAGACCACAGCATCTCTGAGGGTTGGTGCCACAGCACCCTCAGGCTGCTTGGACAGGGCTGTCTGACCCTGATCCTGGCCAATTCCTTTGGGGAGATGTTCACACGACAGTCCCAAGTGAGCAGCCAGCAGCCTCTCCCGTCTGTGCCCATGGACAGCTGTGTCTGACAGAAACCCCCAGCCCTGCCCTCAGGACGGAGCAGAACCCACCCTGCCTTTTAGAGTCAGATGGTCACAGGGTTCCCCAATATCACACGAACTAAATGCCAAACACCTCCACCCCCCACCTAGCCAACACTCCACTCTGTCCCTTCTCCTTCCCATTGCTCCTTCCTCAGGGGAACTTCTGATTCCCTGGGGTGCTACTCCCAACCTGCCTTTGCCCTGACTATGTTCCCAAGCCTTGTCCCAGCTCCTTCCTTCTTTTTTTTGTGGTACTGGGGCTAGAATTCAGGGTATTCACCTTGAGCCACTCCACCAGTCCAATTTTTTGTGATAGGGTTTTTCGAGATAGTGTCTTGCAAACTATTTGCCTGGGCTGGCTTTGAACCTCGATCCTCCTGATCTCTGCCTCCTGAGTAGCTGGGATTACAGGCATGAGCCATTGGTGCCCGGCCCTCCTTCACTTCTTGAGTGCTCTCCTCAGTCCACCACCTTCCAAAACCTTCCCCAACCCCTCACCTATATCCACACCCTCTGGTTTTCTTTCCCCTTCTGCTGTCCTGCACTTATTTATCACCTCAGGCATGCCAAGTATTTTCATTGTCTCCACCCACTCCACTGTCAGCTCCCTGGGGGCAGGGATTTGGGTCTGTCTTGGTCACTGCTGGTCTCCAGTGTCTACCGTATGCGTGGTACACAGTAGGCGTGCAATAAATGTTAATTTACTGACTAAATAAATGAATGCATGTTGTATATATATATTTACATAGAGGCTATATGATCAGAAAAGAGTGTCACAAAAAAAATTTCATCTCCCACTGGGTGTGGTGGCAGAAAGATGGAGTTCAAGGCCAACCTGGGCTACATAGTGAGTTTGAAACCTAAGCTGCATAGCAAGACCCTGTCCCCAAGGTGGGGGGGAAGAGGTAAAGCACCTGTCTAGAAAGTGTGAGACCCTGAGTTCAAACCTCAATACTACCCCCCCCAAAAATTACACCTTCCATGTCAAAGTTAGTGCCTCCAGAAAGCATTTAGTGAGTACCTACTATATGCAGACAGTGCTGGGTCCTCCCTCCATTGCAGTATCAGAATGAGAGTGGTAGGCCTGCCCCACTGGGCTCTGGGCCCCATATCTGGGGAACATATGGGCCATGGATGAGGCCAAGGCATTGGAGACCCTAGTCCAGGCTGCACTGTGGAAGGACCTGGATAGAGTAGGAGCTGGGGCTCTCCACACTTATGGGCCCCAAAGCCAGAACCATAGACTCACCCATTGCATGATGGAGAAAAGAGTGTGGAGGGTCAATGACGGGGAGAGACCCTTCGGGGTCCTCCAAGGGCTACCCACCACACAGCCTCTGACCCACCCCTATTGGATCAGGAAATGGGGGCTGAGAGACGCAGCAGGGATCTACAAATCCCCCTAATGGACCATGTGGCCAGTGGGTGGAACATTGAGCCTCGCCTGTGCAGTGGGAAACTGAGGCCCCGCCAGGTCCCATGGGTTACAGATGTGTGGATGAGACTAGGGGGGCTTTCCTCCTGCCTCTGATGCTCAGATGTTCCTGCAGGGATTTGGCACATGAAGTCCTCATTCCCAGACCCCACTCCACCT